TCACTGAGTTCCATATCAGACCTATGCTGGGTCAAGAATAGTTTCCCAGAAGCATCAAAACAAACGCATCTCCGGCAAAGCTCAGCGCATAGCACGTCAGACCCACAAAAGCAAAGACTCTCCAATATGCCAGGCATGCCAAAATGATCCTCATGCTTGGCAGCATGATCCTCCCTAGCTTGATGTGGCTTTTAAAATGATAGATGTTTACTTTGATCCCCAGGTCAGGTTTCAGCCTGAAAAGCAGGCGGTGGGGAAACCTGTCAGGTCAAAGACATGACAGCGAAGACAGGAAAGCGAAGAGAAAAATTAATACTGTTTTACTTTGGCTTTACAATGTTTTAAGACATGAGGGTCTAACCTGCTCAGCAACTTCGGATGTGCAAGAAGATATACGGGAAGCAAACCACGTTAGACCGGCTGATGTTGTACCCCCCCGTCTAACATGGTAGGCCAAATCAATATGTGCGCAATAGGCTTTTCATGTTAGACCCCAGATTTTGGGGTCTACTCTGTATACCTGAGGTCCCTTTGAAGTAGTTGCAGGTATCTTTCCTGATTGCCGCCTTGAGGCTGTCGTCTCCACTCTCTTCATCACGCCCTTCCTGGGGCTTGGATTCCGCTTTGTTGTTTCGACTGCCAGAGCCGGACACTCCGACATGCCCAGCTGCTGTTTAAAGTTTAAAGGTGCAAAACATGATTGTGTTCAGGACCTTGGTCAAGCCGCCTGCGGGAAGCTCCGAGCCCTTGACATGATGGACCAACTCGACCAACCGCTTGCTTCACAAGCCACTGCTGACCTCAGGCCAGCTCCTCTCAGGCCTTGTGCGCCACACCAACATCGCCCATGCATAAGCTCAGTGCGCTCCTGTTGTCACCATGGATGCAGCGCTTAATTTTCGAGCCCAAGAGGCGTTCAACCAGTGATGCCACACCCTCAGCTTGTTGGTGCACTTCCATGTAGCCCAGAAGTTCAGCTTCTGCAGTTGAGGCCATCACGAATGGCTGCCTTGATGAGCTCCACATGATCAAGCATCCCGCCCGCATGACAGGTGTTCCATGGACTGACTTGAAGTTATCTTCCTCTGGTGCATAGGAAGCATCTGCATAGGCCTCAATGTCGTCTAACCCGCTAGGCGCGGTCAAGTCCCAGGTTTGGAGTGCCCTTGAGGCACTCGAGAACGATGATCGCCTGCTCACTCATCGCTTTCGGCCTTTTGTGCGTCTGTGATGTGTGCTATGTCCCCATCCATTGCAGTTCACCCACAAGTCCTCGAAGCGTGGGGATGTCAAAGTCTTCATCCTCCCCCGGACCCAAGCCAACGCCCTTCCACGGTGTTCCCTTGCTGATGCCTTTCTTTGCACACAGGTTCACTACATATGCCTCCTGACTGGGGCGATATCCATTCTTTGTTCTGCAGATGTTGAAGCCACAGAACTTGAGATGTTGTCCAATTGTGTCCAGGACCTCTGACTTCGAACAAGTCCAAAGGGACGCAACGCACTTGATCATGGCCGTCACCTCCTCAGAGCGCCCATGGTGAACATGTCATCGACATACGTTGCAAGGAAACCCACCGTCTCAGACTGTTCATTCAGGATCTTCCAGATGTTGTGTTCGTCTGTTTGTTCAAGGGTCCTTCACGATGCTTCACGTAGTCTCTGGTTGCGAAACTGCGACCAGTCCTCTGGTGACTCTCTCAAGCCGTACAAGGCTCCCTGGGCCTCCCACATCCAGCCATCTTCAATGATGCCCAGTTTGGTGAGCAGCTTCGCAAAGGTGATTCTGTGCGCCACCGATCTCTTGGGTTCTTGCAGAAATGCTGCAGCGACACCAATGGCCCAATTCTGTTGCGCAGCAATTGCCACCAAGGTTCGAAGAGACACAGCATCAAGGCCACCCGTGGAGATAGTCACCGTGACCGTGTCATCTGGAGTTCCATAGTGGCCACAGCCGACGATTCTTGCTTTTCTTCGACCACATGGCGCCTTTCGTGAACGCAGCGACTTCCCCGCTGGGATGGCCTCCACATGAACACCACTGTCCGCTGCCTTCTTCACCTCTTCGGGCAACCTCCTCTTCAGTGTGTTGGTGTTCTCCAAGTTGTCCACCTCCACGCTGATTGGTGGGATCCACAGCGACTTCTTCCAGCACTTGACAATAGCTCACGATATATATTTGCAGCGCCTCCGCCTCCTGGATGGCGGCTGGCTGACCTGACATCGCCACTGCTTTCAGCATTGCCTTGAGCTCACCCGCTGTTTCCTGAGCCTCTTGACATCACTTCTCAGGCCCTCAATCCAGCTGAAATTCGTTCGTGACTCTGCCGCAACTGCAATAGCCAACTCATCCACCAGAAGTTGCTGAGCTCCTCTGGACATCCCATTGATCCAATCAGATCTCTTCTTCAAGGCCTCAATCTCCCCCAGGACGTCCTGCTCCGCATCAGTGCTGTTCTCCTCCGTGACGCACATCTGGCACACCGTTGGGGCCTTCATCAAGCCACAATTCCCACATGGTCTGTATTGCCCTTCATCTTGTTGACAGCTGCCTTGTGCGTCTTGATGCTGCAGGATGTTTATTGCCCTTTTGCAACACCCCTGCACTCCCCCCCAGTTCCTGGAACTGGACCACTGAGGTTTGCAGCAGCTTGTTTTCCATGGAGCCGGATGCGTTTGCCGACGACATCCTCAGGGGAGATTTCAACCAAAGCACATGATCTTGTAGCTTTGCTTCGAAGTCTTCTGCCTGCTCCAAAGGTGTGCCGTCGCCAGCTTCCGACGGCGCTTGATCGATGTCATCAAACACCTCCCAGAACTCTGCAGCAGCCTTCAACTGCTCCGCCATGTTACGCGGGTTTCCTCCTTGAATGCGTTCAACTGCATCTTGGCCATCACGTTCAATTTGAGGAACTTGAGGTGGTTGTGCAATCTCCTGCGGGCCATTGTTCACTGTTGCACTACACTTCGGTCTGATGGCAACCGCTGTACGAAGCTGATGCCCATCAGCAGTTCTCACCCAGTATCCACCAGCCCTTGAGGCAAGGCCTTCAGCTGGACCCAATGCAGTTGCCCTCACCATTGGATGTCGCCAGTCGTCCGCAAGACGCACCATACGGAAGGAGCCGAGGTAGTTGGATCCCCATGGAGCAAACTTGACCTCGATGTCGTTCTTCTGCTGCATGAGTGCTGTGGGCCAGTCCGTCATCATCAGATCCGCTGACTTCAACAGCGCCCTCGTCGCATTCTTGAGTATTCCAATGTCCAGCTCTGCTCTTGTGTTTCCTGTTGGTTCATCACCAGCCGTGAAGGTGCATAATGTCCCGATTTGCCACCCATTCACGAGAACGCTTCGAGACGAATTCCTTGGCCCGATCCATTTTGAGGGTGAGGATGGGAACCTGTAGCGCACGAACCTTGCGTGTACAACTTGGCAACAGCGTTCAGGACGGTCTGCTCCTTGCGCACGTCTGTATGCGGAATGACACTTGCGCCTCCTTTGCCAGGACATTCTTCACCACGGTGCCCAGCGCATGGATCTGCAAGACCGGATCTGGGAGCGTGACTGCAAGTTCTCCAGCACGAACAATGTTTCTGGGCCAAGACTTGAGTTTTTCTACAGCGTCACTGGCACTGGTAGCTGCTGCAGGTGCCTGCAGGCTCTTCAGGAGCGAGCTTTTCACGAAAGCTAGCCTTAGCTAGCTGGAGTTGCTCTTGCTTTAGCAAGTTAAGTGACGGGGTGGACGCGCCCCAGAAACCTCAAATAATTGATTAAATCAATCTTATGGACCCCCCCCCCCGCGGTTCGACTCCCCCCTGCGCGCGGTGAGCGGGACCACCAAGCAGCTGCAGCACACCAAGCATCTGCAGTCTACCACCAAGCAGCTGCAGCAAACCACAAAGGAGCAGCAGCAGCAGCAGAAGCAGCAGACCCAGAGCAGCAGCAGCAGACCACCCAGCGCCAGCAGCAGCAGCAGCAGCACCAGCAGCAGCAGCAAACACAACAGCAGCAGCGGCCGCAGCAGCAGCAGGAGACGCAGCCAAGGCAGACCACCCAGCAGCAGCAGGAGCTACATTGGACAGTAATACCTTTTTGGGTGCTATGTGCAGGCGGCATTTCTTGCATCATAGCCCTACCCCGCTTACGCGACTAGTTACGGCGTGGAGTCAGGCGGTGTCATTTGAGTCTTGCGCTGCTGCTGCTGGGGGGTCTGCTGCTGCTGCTGGGCAGTCTGCTGCTGCTGCTACTGGGAGGTCTGCTGGTGCTGCTGCCGCTGGGTGGTCTGCTGCTGCTGCTGCGGCGCTGGGTGGTCTGCTGCTGCTGCTGCTGGGTGGTGCTCTGCTGCTGCTGCGGCGCTGGTTGGTATGCTGCTGCTGCTGCTGCTGCCGCTGGGTGGTCTGCTGCTGCTGCGGCACAGCAACCGCTGGAAAAACCAAGCCAAAGAAGTGATGGAAAGGGGGCACCAAACAAAACCTGCTCCTGTCAGGTGGCAGTTGCTTACTGGATGAGACTCGACGCACCACAAAGCACATACTAACACTGCTTCTCTAGAGTTTCCCACGGGACTTGCAAGTGGACCGGCAGTTACCCAATGAGAGTGACTGTGCAGCCCGCCCCCGACTTGTTTGGACGAGGAGGCCCGGCTAGCTTTCGTTCACCCCCTCTGGCCTCAAGTCTCTGAAATTCCCCCTGGTTGATAGCGCTTCAGCACTTCGAGCACGATGGCTCCTGCAGTGAGTTTGCGTGCCGCCACAACCTCCGCTTTGAGTGAAGCAGGCAATGCCGCAAGCAACATCGAGGCCACGCGACTTTCCAAGAGAAGCATTGAGGCCACGCGACTTTCCATGGATCGCTGCTCTGGGTAATACATGATGTTCGCTTGGACGTGCTTCGGAGATGATGACGCTTCCAGTTTCCAAACCCGAGTTGCCGAAACCCACGTTGCGTGCTTCCGAACCCAACTAGTTTCCGAACCCGGCTTTAGTTTCCGAACCTAACGCCGACCCACCACCCAGACTTTTCAAGGACCAAAGCCCGTCACATTGGGATCCCACAACGCCCAGCCGAAAGAAATTAAAGCAACAAGATAGATTGATTGGTAATCACGTCCAACAGTTCCAGTCAATCGGATATTTCACATCGCCACTTCAAGGAACCGGCTGGGACGATGACTTTGAAGACCGCCGTGGGCCCAAGAACTTCTGATGCTGCGTTGAGCTAGGTGAGGGGCAGGAGCTGTTTGTAACATACACCTACGATCACCTACGTACATAAATCAGGAAGGCATGGAACGATGCTTAGATGCAGAGAGGAAACTGCAACAACTTGTTGGTACTTCTTCAAGTGTGTGCCTTGTGTATCTTTTTGTGAGATGTTTTTTGGGTTCCAATGTTGAAAATTGTTTCGCGACACCTTAGAAGCCGCCAAGCGGCTGACCTTGTTGCGACAGAAACCCATTTGAGGGAGGTTTGTCTCGTGCGTTCTGGACCATTTGAGAGTGAATCTGATGGAACTCAATGGGTTGAGAGCTGGGCTATTTTGGAGTGGATGAATCAAGCCATACCAGGAAAGACCTCCTCCAACTCACATGTTCAAAACCCTCAAGCTAGAAGGCCCTGACCATGCATTGGCAAAAAAACAGGGAAACGCCATGAAACATCATTTGAGAAGTGCACCCCCTTGCATCCCCTTTCCATTTTGTTGGCATCTCCCACAGCCATCCCAACCCACGAAGCATTAGCGTTTGGTCCATTTTCCTGGTCGTTTGTCCGGCCAAAGCTGAACGCCGTGGCGGACCCTGCACGCTTTGTGCATCTCACGCCGCCAATGTTTGCAACTAAAGATGGGATCGAATGGATGGGGGATGGTGGACACGTGGTGGAACACAGCCTCCGTGATTGCTGAAAAGATTGGGGGGTAGCGCATGGATGTTAATGGCATCGTGATTTTCAGCTGCAAAGGGTCAGCGGGATCAGATGGGTGCGGCTGAAGTACCTGGGGACGAAGCATCATTGCCCCCAGCTTGGTTTTTACTTTCAAGTGTGCTCGTCGAACTCTTGTCACAAATGGTGCTTTAGCAAGCTTTTGGCTGGTGGCCAGAATTGCCTACCATGATAATTTACATATATATATATATAACAGCTACGCGGAGGCCCTTGGCCTTTAAGTTCGGCCCCGGCTTTGTCCCTAATAGGGGAGGGAGGGTGTAAGTGTTCAACGCATTGACCATCAAGCCCCACCGCGATCAGTTTCAAAGCTCCACTACAGCACTTGTTGTGCTACTGGCATGGGCTTTCTTCATAATGTCTTCAGAACCTTCCCGTCTTATACATACTCAGCCCATTTACCATTATAATTATACGCATTTATTAAAGGCTTACGCCTAACAGCCGGGCGCCGGCCCACTTGGGTCTGTGTAGGGCTGGGTCGGGTGCATCTTGGGCCCATGTTGAGCCTATGTTGAGCCTATGTTGGCCTATGTTAGGCCTATGTTGGCCTATGTTTGCCCAGGTTGGGCCTATGTTGGCCCCATGTTGGCCTATGTTGAGCCATCTTGGAGGCTATGTTGGGCATATGTTGGGGATATGTTGGCTATCTTGGGCCTATGTTGAGGATATGTTAGGAAATGTAAGTCGTCTGGAGGGCCTCTACCCACAAAATGTCGATTAAGCCTGTCCACCCGGCGCGCATTACCGACACCACCCTTGAAAAGCACAGCATTTTTTGCATTTTTCCCGTTTCCCCCCGTCGTACTTCGATATGCGCAATAAACCCTGTAAAACACAGTGTTTTTTATACCTCACACACACACGACACACTGTAAATTACAAGGGCTTCAGTGACCCGGTGGTCCCCCCGTTTTGGGACCGAGGGTCGGCGGCAGCCAGGGCCAGCGTCTATAACCACCACCGAAGGCCTCCGGCGAGGACACGGGCTTCGTGGCCGGCGCCCGGATTTATGAGGCTTACGCCTGACAGCCGGGCGCCGGCCTATTTGGGTTTGGGTATGTGCAGGGCTGGGTCCTCTCTGTCTCTCTCTCTCTTTGTCTCTCTCCCTCTCTTCTCTCTCTCTGTGAGACTTAGTCGGGCCTATATTGAGCAAAGTTAAGCTATCTGGTGCGCATCTTGGCCCTAGGTTGGGCCAAGTGGAGCCCATGTGGTCTATGTTGGGCACATCTTGGGCCCAAGTTGAGCCTATGTTGGGCCTAGGTCGGCCTATGTTGGCCTGTGTTGGCCTAGGTTGGGCCTATGTTGGCGTATGTTGTCCCCATGTTGGCCTATGTTGGCCCTATGTTGACCCATCTTGAAGGCTATGTTGGGCATATGTTGGGGATATGTTGGCTATCTTGGGCCTATGTTGGGGAGACGTCAGGCAACTTCTGTGCCCAACACCCACGAAATGTCGATTAAGCCTGTCCGCGCGGCACGCAAATAACCGACACCACCGGCGCCCTGTTAGGCGCAAGTCATGTCCGCCGAAGGCCACGAAACACCGTAAAAAACGATGTTTTCCACATCATGCGCAATCATGCTGGTAGATAAAATATGAATGACATAAAAATCTGTCGACCGGATTTAACCTGAGGTCGACCGGGGGTCGGGCGGAGGTCGACCAAAAGGGTCGGCGGCAGGGGCGGCGAGCGTATATAACCTTCGGTTACCAACCGAAGGCCTCCGGCAAGGGAACGTGCGCGTGGCCGGCGCCCGGATTGTAAGGGCTTCGCCCGGGTGCCGCCGACCCCTTTTCGGGAGGAGTGTAGCATGTGTAACTAAAGGCGTTTGTGTAGTTCCGGTGGTTGCCCGTCTGTGGAGAGAAGGTGGGCGTTCTAGCCTTAGGAGGCTGCAGCGAGGGAGTGCAAGTACTATGCACGGTCGTGGTGGGCTGGGGTGCTGCAGGGGCAGTGGTTTGGACAGGAGTTGATGAATTTGGAGTTTGGGGAGTCCATTCTGACTGCTCTTGTGGGCAGAAATAGATGGTGTCGTTTGCTACCCCGGAAATGCGCCGCTGCGGCTGCATTGTGCCCACACGCACACCGAGCTTCTGGCAATGCCAGGCAACTGTTTTATGGGACCCCGAAGGCAACGTGGCCTTTGTGTCCCTTCTGCAAGGCAAGTGCCGTGCGCACAGGCGACGTAGATCACCGGCAAGCATGCGGGAACCGTATCGCTGTGAGGGAAGGCCAGGGGGCTGTGAAAGGTTATGCTTATTGCTGCCCATGGTGCAAAGCTACTGTGTCAAGTAACGTCAAAACTGGACGCGTGAACCATCGAACGGTGTGTGGCAATGAGTTTCGCGTCAAAGATGGGGTGGTCAACAGCGGCTAGGCCCGGGTAGGGGGGTGCACGCGTGCAGCAAACCAACGGGTTCTTGATTTTGGTTGCTTTCTCACTGGTAGATTGGTCCTACGCACTCCAGTCTCGCAGGCTTCGAGTCTTTGATGTCGGGAACCTGAGTTTTGACCTCTGAGACGTTACGCTGCGTGACACTGCACCGGGGGGTGTTATCATTGGGATGTTCGAATTAAAGATTGTTGCTGGTGGAAACTCTCTCTGCACGCATGCCTGCAGCGGAAAGCTGAAAACGCATGTGCGGTTTGAAGAACGCAGCAACCTTTGGACTCCGAGTTTCGCCTAGCTCGGTCCAGCAGACCCTGCTACCGCCTCAACGCAGCGGCGGCCAGGTCTTCAGCCTGAAATATGCCCAGCATCGGTGAGGTGCTGCCACGTTTGAGTCACGGGCAACTGCACTCACCGACTCACTTCCTGATGAAACACGTATTGGTATGGCTTTGTCGTGCCCTATAGATCAGGTTAGGCTATTTTGGTGCTTTTAGTCAATTTACTTTTTGAAGACTATTTTAAACTAATAGTTTGTTGATATAAACAAACTATTTAGTCTATCATAAAAATAACCTAACGTTATTGACATAAAAAACCTTAGGTTATCTATGTGAACAACCTAAAGCCATGAAGTTTTTCCCATATGTTTTAACTTTATGTTCTGTAAGTTTTGTTGTTTTTTTGCAAAACTTGTATGTTTGTCTTACTTCTGGAAGATTGTTACATCTGATTAACTGGAAATTGTTGTAAAAATACAAATGCTGCAAAAAGGATTGGATAGTATTGGGGAGATGGTATTGGAGTGATTTTTTGGACAGATAATATTGGAGAAATGGTATTGGAGCGATCGTATTCGAGAGATTTTTTGGAGAGGCAATATTTGAGAGATGGATTGGGGAGATAACATTGGAGAGCTATTTTTGGATGTTTGCAACCTTTTTAATAGCAAAGAATCCCTGTATATATGACAAGTGGTAAGATCCTGGTTCCATATTGGCTATATCTTTCCAACCAGGGCTACATCATTAGAGCAGATTCTGTCTTCCACTGCAAGTATGTGAAACCAGGGCTAACCATGAGGGCTGTTCACACATGTTCATGGGGATGAACAGTGTCATTTGTTTCTTGGCTTGTTGATGCTGCTGCCTTGCAAACTGGCACACATTTGGCCCAAGGCAGCTTGCTCTCTGAATCGTGTGCCCACTGCCAATGATGGACTCCATGTGGGTATGGCTGGCCTTGTGCACAATGTGCCTCCTCCTGCTCTTGATCTATTTGCTCCTCAAAGAGATCTACAAACTCTTGGTCCAGTTGAAGGACACAGTGGTGGCCATGAAGGTGCTTGTGGACTTGATGGCACAGCCCACTCTCAATGACCTTCCTGAAGACATAGATGAGTGGAATGCTGCAATGGCCTTGAGACAAAGGTGAAGAAAAGGTGCTTCAATATTGGAAAGATATTGGAAAGAGCGGACAGGGAATGATATTACATATACTATTGGAGAGATATTTTCAGGGATATTGGCAGGTGTGGCATTCTAAAGACAAAGGCGCTAGCTTTCAAAGATGCTAGTTTTTTTTGCATCTTGCTCGCTCCCACAGAGTGCCCTGTGAAGTGTAGTGTGGAATTGCCGCTAACTCTTGAGGTGAGTCTCTTCCACAGTGATTTGTGAACTCTTGAGGTGATTCTTGGGCTACACTGCGAGACAGCTGGTCCAGATGCCTCGTGTCATAAGCCCAGCAAAAAGCTTCTAGAGAAGACAAGCCAGTGGTTGTTGTTCAAGATGTTCTTTTCTACAAAAAGTCCATAGTCATCAGATTTGGCAAGTCATCGAGGCTGAAGTATTGGCCCGAGGTTTGAACAGGCTTGTAGGAGATGGAGGATAGGACTTGGCTGGTTGCTTTGGAGGTGGCTAGAAACTTTGACACTGTGGGGCCACCTTTGCCTCC